TATTCGGGTCTCCTCCACAGTCACATGTGAAAATCCAGCGCTTTCAGAATATGTAAAAATCATCAAGCTTTTTACCAAAAGAGAAAACTTACCCACTAATGTCAAAACGTTGAGTTGCTCCCAATAGGGAACTATCATATGGATTTATTCATTTTCTCTATATCATCTCATTGGAATGTGGCTCCTGTCAGCCGTTGTATTCAAGAAATGCAAAATAATTCGTCCTCATGAAAGAATTATGGAAGATACTTTCTAGCTTTTGAGAAATACCAGTAAAATAAGTTAGCTTAAAGGATATACGACCATTCTTATTACGGTTTTAATAAGTAATCCATGGAAATTTATCAAGCCAAAGGGCGTATTTTTTAAATCACAGGTCCTTCTCTTAGTCCTTTGTCATTTATTAGTGGGAGAAAATGAAAGCTGTCTCTGAGACACTAAGATCTAAACCATGTCTGTGCAGCCTCTGCATTATTAAGTCTGACTGTAGTTTATCTTTGCTCTTAAGGAAATCAAACTATAAGCTTGCAGAGAAAGTTCAGAGTCATTTGTCACCAATTACAGCTGAGAGTTGATCTTACAAATAGCTGTGGCCATTTCCTATAAGCACTTTCTCCTAATTTTACAAGGCTGTCACTTCTGGAGGCTTAACCCTAGAAAATACATGTCTACTACGGGAAATTTTTATTGCAAAAATTTATCCAGAGATAATAGTCTTATGGGGCATGAAACTCCATAGCATTCACTTGTTTAAAATAAGTGTATTCCTAATTTTCAAACCATGTTCTCAAATTCTATTAGTTTTCCTATGATACCAAAAAAAAAAAAGAAAGAAAGAAAACAACCAGAAAGTTTCTTTTTCTTTTTTTAAATTGAGGTATAGTTGATTTACGATGTTGTGTGAATTTCAGGTGTACAGCAAAGAGATTCAGTTATATATATACATATGTATATATATATATAATGTATAAATATTCTTTTTCAGATTCTTTTCCATTATAGGTTATTACAAGATATTGAACATAGCTCCCTGTGCTCTGCTGTAGGTCCTTGATGTTTACAGCAAGTATTTTTGTCAATTAAAAGGTACATGTACACAACACAATGAACCGAGCTGATCTCATCTATACTATAAAATGTTATTAGTTCTTTTCAGAAGAGCAGCATAAAATTAAATTATAAAATAAGTTAAACATATAAGGCAGCCCTTGAAGAAGAAAAGTAGGTATTCTGAATATAAAAGTAAAAATGAAAAATGTATGGAAATGAAATGACAATAAAACGTTAATCAAGTTATTTTTCTGTATTTCTTAATTAGAACACCAAATATTAAAATCCATCTTTTTTTTTAAAAAGTTGATATCTATTTTACATGGGAATGATCAGAAGGAAACCCTTAGGACCTTATTTACTTAATTTCAAAAAGTAATGAAGGGGAGGGTGTAGCTCAAGTGATAGAGCACATGCTTAGCATGCATGAGGTCCTGGGTTCAATCCCCAGCACCTCCTCTAAGAATAAATAAATAAGTATAAACCTAATTACCTCCCCCCCAAAAAAAAGATCAGCAAAAGTAATGAGATAAACTACTATATATAAAATAAACAAGTTCATACTGTACAGCACAGGGAACTATATTCAATAACTTGTAGTAACTTATGGTGAAAAAGAATATGAAAATATATGAAAAGAATATATGTATGTTCCTATATGACTGAAGCACTGTGCTGTGCACCAGAAATTGACACAGCATTGTAAACTGACTGTACTTCAATAAAAATATATATTTAAAAAAGTAATGAAATAGACTGAAAATTGGGCTGAATCATGGGTCAGAAGAACTGGAGTTTACTCCCAGTGTGACTCAGTTTCTCAGTCTGTAAAATGGGTACACCATCCTGCTTAAATCACAGTGCTGTTCTGAAGAGAAGATGAGTATGAATTTATGCAACAAAAAGTTCAGTTTTGGCCAAGTTCGTGACTTCACAGAATGCCACAGAAAGTGTGAAGATTTACTGATTCAATTTCGCTGAACAGAACACAGATGAGGTTTTGAACAACTCAGAGTCCTTTAAAGAAGCTTAGCTAAGGATCACCCAAAATGCTCTTCGTTAACGACACCTCCTGGGAACCCTAGTTTGGCAAGGGAGGTGGGAGACTGAGGCGGATTCGCATGTGAAGTAGTGAGCCTTGCTCTGTATGGCCCTTGCCCCAAGCCCCTGGCCCTAAATCTAGTTCACGGGATGGTCTCCTTCAAGATGCAGACAACGTGGAGTAGGGACGGATGGGAGTGGGGTCCTGCAGGTGGCGCCTGTGACCTTGTCTTCTTATGCACGGACACACACACCGACTTATGAAGCCTGACTGCAAACTCTGCAATTACTAGCTCTGGGATAGAAAATACCCAAATATTCTCTTGCTAGAATATTGTACATCTTGAAAACTCATGACCAAAGGGTAGGATATGACCCTCGACAGCATCAACTCTATGCTTAGAAAAAGTCATAGTTGGTAAAAATATATCCCCACTAGCTACAAATCTACGAGGATTTTTGATACTTAAAGACATATTTCCTAAAGGATATTATTTAGAGTACCAGTTTTAAGCAAAATACCTAGCTGCTCCCAAAAAAGTTTTACATCGCTGGCTTAATCACCTTTGAATAGGCTTCTGCAAAATACGATTTCTCAGAGTGTTTTAATTTTATCTCAGTATCAGAGAAGAGGATATATTATGCAGCATTGCTCGAATGCATTGGAACATGGAAAGCTTTTTCTTCTCAGTTGAGCTAACATTCTAAAAAAATACATTGTAGAGAATATTAAATGAAACGATACTTAAAACCTGTATAGCAGAAGCAAAATGCCTGTCAGAAATGGCTAAGGGGCTGTTCTTCCCACCATACGTTCCAGACCAGTGTTGCTGGCAAAGCAGACGCCCGCCATAGGGTTCTAGATGTGAAATAATATTTGCTGAAATGTGACTCCAGAGTTCTGTGCTCGTTTGAAAAATTAATAGCAGTCAGACGCCTGAATATTTCTTGCCCACTGAAGGACCCAAGGACAAGGATGAGGAGAGTGGGCTAAAGGATTTGTTCAAAGGTTGTGCAAACACACTACAGGGTAGTGAAATCAATTTCTAGAAAGAATTCAGAATTACTAATGGCGAAGAGGCACACCAGATTTGTAACTGAAGTGGAAGGCTTTCTTCTTGTATCCTTTTATTCAGCCATTGAATGATTACTTACAAAGTATCAGGCACCACGTGGTGTGTTGGAAGATGCAGAGACATGTAAAACTTGGCCAATGCCTTTAGGGAGATGAGAGCTTGGACAATTTGGGGGTTTTGTTTTTTGGTGGGGGGGGTAATTAGGTTTATTTATTCTTGGAGGAGGTACTGGGGATTGAACCCAGGACCTCATGCATGCTAAGCAAGCGCTCTACCACTGAGCTACGCCCTCCCCTCAAGCCTGGACAATTTTAATAGGAGAGTGATGACGGCTTTGAGAGTGCAGAGAACAGTGCAGAGACATCTCTGATAATTTTCAGCTATGAAGCTAAATTAGTAATATTCCCCAAGCCTTGCGAACAATCGCTCCCAGTCCACGGTCCACGGTTCTTTCTGTACAGATGGGAGTTGCACGCGGGTGTTACGGCAGCGATGCGCGGGTTCCAGGCAGCAGTTTGGTTTGTCGGGTTTAGGGTTGTTTCACTACGGCTGTCTCTGTTTTTAGCAAACAGATACAGCAGGACGGTGCCTCGTTTAGGATGGAGAAGCATTTATCCCAGAGTCCCTCCAGTGCTGTGTTTTTCCATGAATATTCAACAACAGCAGCTGATGAGCTAATCTCCATTCAGATATTTCCCTTGATTCAGAATGATCATGCCTCTTGGATACTGAAAGTCCCGATACACAAAAAACACAGTCATTTAGGGTTTGCATAGTGACGCATGGCTTTGATATTTGAACGCAGGGAGTTCAGACGAATAAAGGATCACAGGCTTGTGGTTTTCCATAAAGACTGCTCCTCTAAAACTCTGCGAATTGAGAACCCTTGTCTTCCTTAGACAAGGCTCGTTCTGAAATTTGGGGATGTTCAAGATTAGAAACTCAGAAATATGGTTGATTTCATAGAAAATTCCATTCTCAAAGAATAGAACTTTGAAGTTACGGGGGTCTGTGTATTAGAAATAGTAAGACAGGTCAGACTTTTTGCTTATGTAGGTGAGCATGTAATTTTTCTGAGGCTCCCTTTTTTTCATTGTAAAAGAACACGTCATCTCCAACACATAATTTCCTGAGTACTACAACTTAGTGAAAAATGATCTGTTTTTTTGCTAACCCGGATGAAGAAAATTTGGAGAATTAAAGGAGTCGACCAGGAAATACTGGCAGTGACGTGAAAGTGGAATGGGGGAAGGGGACAAAAGTGACCTCAAGACTGTCTGGAACACTCTGCTTCCTTTATATGTAAACAAGTGATGTAAAAAATGACCAGATGAGAACACTTCCTAATTCCTAAATATTGCTTACATGATTCCTCTATTTTTGACTTTTTAGTTAGAAATTATTTTTAACCATACGATGATTCATTCATTCAACAAACAATTTGCTGAGAGCCTACTATGTGATCATAGATGTTGGCAACAAAATGGAGGGGGGGAAAAAAACAGACATCCCCCTGCTCTCATGGCGTTTCTGTTTTAGGCGTGGAAGTGACATGTCTGAGATGTGATGGAGAAAGTTCCGAAGGACAGAGGGGTTCGCGGAGGGGATGGACTACCTGGTCCTGATACTTACTGGGGAGGTGGCTGCCCTTGGTGCTGAATCAGGAAGTTCCTATGCTGACGGGAACTGCCTTATTTTTGGTCAAAATCGAGTTTCACCTGAGTCATGCACTGGTGGGGAGGGGAGGGGCACACGTCTGAGTCTTGGGTGATACCGCTTCTCTGGCTGGCTGCACGCCCAAGTTCACCTGCATTTTTCTTTGATTCCCTCTAGTACATGACTGCCGCGGCTCCCATGCAAGGGACCTACATCCCCCAGTACACGCCCGTGCCTCCGACAGCTGTTTCCATTGAAGTAAGTCTGTCTCTTCTTATAGAAGGAGGTGAGAGCAGATAAATCTCAGCCACGTTTACTGTGGTCCACCATAACCCCCACCCCTGCCAAAATCCTTATTTGTGATTTTGGGGGCTGCTCTAAACTTTGAAGTCGCATGCTCGCTGTATGAAAGTGTGCACTTGGCTTGAATGTGTCTGGGTTTGGCTTTGCACTCGAGATAAGCTCATTTGCTATACAGTTAGGAGAGGACTGCCGTTTGCATATCTAGAGAAAAGATCAGAGATCAGATAGACGCCCCATCAAATGTCAACTACGACTACTCAGAAATGGGGTGGGGGGGAATTGCAGCTATTTGAATGAGCGCTTTCTCTAACACTTTGCCACTCAAAGAGTGGTCCCCAGGCCAGCATCGCGGGCATCACCTGAGGAGCCTGTTAGAAATGCAGACTCTCAGACCCCACCCGGACGTCCTGAATCGGAATTTGCTCTCTAACGAGATCCCTCAGGGATCGAGGTGCACGTTAAGATTTGACAGGGATTGGCTAGAGCACTGGTTCTCCAATTTTTCTGCCTACTGAAATTACTTCAAGACCTTTAAAAAAAATAGTGATGCCCAGGTCCTACTGCCAGGGAGTCTGATGGAGTCTTGGGTATGGACTGGACATCGGGATGGGAAAAGCCACCAGGTGATTCTAACGTGTACCAAAGACGAAGAACCACTGCTGTAGCAAATGAACCTTGACGGGTCTGTGGCATCCTTGCAGACAAGAAAGGAAAAGTTGTACCACTCTTACTGTTATGGAAAGCACGAATGATAAAGTCATGGTGCCTTAATGGAATCCTTGCACCTTCCTTCTCTTTTTCCATTGGGCTGGATCCATTTCCTCTATACATGATTTTATTGGAAACACAGGAAAGGAGGGGGCACAGAGCTCTGTGGATGGTGAGGAAACACTTAGAAGTGTGTACTTCTCTCTGGTTCTAGCCATGATTGTTTCTTACCCCTTCCCCTGATACACATTTGCTGTTATGGTCACAATACATCTCTCCCATCCGCCATTGCTCCTCCGTGAGTTGGTCAGCCAACTCATGTTGGTACCACTCAACATGGAAGACCGCCATGACTCCTCCAACCTCTGGAGTTACAGAGGTCGGGTGAGATCTGCACAGACCAACTTGGATCTTCTGAAATGTTTGTCTGTTTGCTTGTTTGGGGTGTGTGACAAATGTTTGCTGGTACCAAGGTTTATGAAACACAGACATTTCAGAGGACACTATCATGTAATTTAGGAAACCAAAGAGGTCCAATTTTTAAATCTTTTATGTGTTCCAGACCTGCGGGCCCCAAAGAGTATGTCAGTATTAAAGAGGTTTTAATAGGCTCTTCAGGATTTCAAGAATATGTGATTGAAACATAAATTCTTTGCTATATTTAGCTATCAAAATCCATCTGGGCCCTGAGAAAATTATGAATCTAGACAATGTAGGCACTTAAGCTAAATCTCTGCCATATACGCTCCTTTCTCTGTCTCTGCACCAAATGTGTGTTCTTGCTATAGAATTTGAGCATTTTGATGACTATAAAATAAAAAGACACATTTCAGTGTCAGTTATTGGGAACAGTCTAATGACAGTTAAACTTGGGATTTAAAAAGAAGTATTTCACTAAGAACTACGTAAGTATACCCTGAGATATTGCCTTGAATCTGTGCTTATAAAGAAAAGCACTGATTCATTTTCTATGTAAAAAGACTTATTGGAAATTCACTGATATCCACACAAGACACAAGTAAATGCTGGTGGGAAGTTCAGGAAAATGCACAATACCAAATAAATTAGGGGAAAAAAAGAGACTGAATTAAGAAAGGGAGGATTTTCAGATTCTGAGGAGCAATTTCAGGGATCTTTTGTTAGGGACAGGGAGTTGACCGAGATCATTTGAAATCCTACAGCCCTGCAGATGTCCAAGGTAAAACCAGGAGAATGTATTCAGTTAGACTCCTTCCTTAGGCCTACTCACTACCAAATAAAACCATCTAGGCTCTCTCAGAAGCAAGCATACATCCCTAATGATGACCAGCTGCAGAAAGCCTTTCTTGTTGGCATCTGGGAGACACAAGGGAGATTAACAGGGTGAGGGGAGGAGCAAATCAAAATTAAGGATGCTTCCTTCTTTTTCTGAACCCTCTAAAGGAATTCCTGTTCTTGTCAAGAAAAATGGAAATAATTCAATAAAGCAAGTCAAGTTGCAGAAGGGAAAGCCTACTGAACAGTGTTCTTTCCAAAGAATCCCAAGCTTTGATGCAGATTTTTCACTAAGCTCAAAATCCCTTATTTTGCCAGATCATTGAAACAGGGCACCAGGCTCTACCCCAGGAAAATGCTCAAGAATCCAAGTTTTTATAGGGGTCCTGCGTGAATGTTTGGATTCATACATCATGATTTAGTGTGGCTGTATGCAACCATGGTTTAAAAGTTCGAACTCTGGGCGAAATGATTTTCTGCCCATTTGACTGCTCCAGGGACTTTTGATGGCAAGACTTCTTGGAGACACTTTGAGATAAATTTCACAGCCCTTATCCAAATGGGCTCTGTGGTTTTCCTCCGAGTATTTCTTGTGGCTTTATGCAGCTGAGTGCACCTCTACTTGAGCCTGACATACTTCCTATAGTCCACCTGCAGGAAGCGCTTCTGCCAAAGCCAACAAGGCTTCTGTGTTCTTATCGCCTCCGTAGGGTGTCGTTGCTGATACCTCTCCCCAGACAGTGGCGCCTTCATCCCAGGACACGAGTGGTCAGCAGCAGATAGCAGTGGACGCGTCCAACGAACACGCACCTGCATACTCTTACCAACAGTCCAAGTAAGTCCGGGCTGCGCTGAGCGCGTTCCCTCCAGGTCAGCACTCGGGACAGCACTCTCTCCTACTGCATCTGTTAGCTTTTGCTGCGGAACAGGCCATCCCAAACGCAGTGATGAACATTTATTTCATTCATGATTCTGTGGGTTGGAATTTGGGCTGACCTCAGGTAGAATGGTTCTCCTCGTCTTGACCGGACTTGCTCGAGCATCTGGGCACAGCGGCTGAGCATCTTCACGGTTCTGCTTCTGGGTGTTACTTGTCTGCTGGTTGAGTGACGGAAGCCTTGAGCCATGTGTGGCTGGTCCCGTGCAGGCTTATTTCTGGGGATGTCTCAGAATTCAGAGAATAGCAAAAGAGGAGGCCCAACTGACTAGCATTTTTTCAATTCTGTTTGGGACTCATTTGCTTCTGCCCCATAGGTCAAAGCGAATTGTATGGCTAAGCCCAGAGTTAATATAAGAATTCACTACCCAAAGGCTTAGATACGGAGAGGTGATTGTGGCCATTTTATTACTAAAATATTCTACACTATATATTTTTGGAAAAACTCCAGTTATTCCACTTGAAACTAGATGGTGAGCCTACATTTTGGTCTCAGTGTCCTCATTCTTAAGTGAAGACAGTAACACTCCTCGGCAAGGTTGCTTTGAACACACCCAGTAAAACAGTTTATGAAAGAGTATCATAAAATGTGAAACAACATGGAGTAGAGTCTTATTTAGGAATTAAGTGGCAAAGCCAAAATCAGGGAGTCAGAATAACTATTGAAAATCCTTAAATCGCTTCGAAAGTGAAGTCAGTTGGCTCTGTGTTGAGTAATCACGTAGACTAAAATTTGAGAGGTTTTGATTGAAACCAAAGGAATTAACAAAAGCTCAGTCTTGTCAGAGGCACGATTCCACTTGGTAGGTAACAGTCAAAGCCCTGGTGAATAGAGAATTCCCAAAACAGCCTTCCTGTTTGCACAGTGTTGCTCCATTTCTTGATCGCCATTTCTTCTTTCCTCTCAATACACATTTCAAGATTTGTTTGTTGTTGAAATGGAGGCTTCTGTGTGTGGTTTAGGTTCTAAAGTCAGTCCTCCAAATTAAATGTGCTAGAACGTGACTTAACCCTACAAATATACAAGGTATTATTGTTACGATTACTAATACTATCATTATTACTACTACGTAGTAACTTTCAAGAAATATCTATAGTGAATAAGCATTTTTGGTTTTTTAATCACATTGAACAATATGGGAGTCTCCGCCACTCTGTTCCAAGCATACTGGATTTTTTTCTTTTTTCAGTCTGTTCAGTGAGTTAACATGTGCGAAGGGAACAGAGATTAGCTACGTGGAAGCACAATGAGATACACTCATGGGAGGTGAGAGGCACTATGTGGCCAGAAGCATCTGTCAAGGCTTGGGGAGTAGGTGAAACTGACTTTGGTTGTTTCAAAGCATAATGAGGAAATGAGTGATCCTGGACCCTTCCTGCTAACAGTTTAGTGATGCCTGGATAAATGGAAACGATACTTTTATCCATCCAGGCAACAACGATTGGTTAAGTGCCTGCTGTGTGACAGGCAGTACTCCAGATGCTAAGGAAGGTCCCGTGAAAGAGACGGTGCCTCCCCCACGCCCGTGGAGTTTGCTTCCTACTAGGAGTTGACTCACAATCAGTGGATCAATTAGCAAATGATCAAAAAGAAAAGAATCGCAAAGTAGACTATCGAGAAGTATTCTGTGATAAAAAGTGGCTGGATAAATACCTAAGATTTGGTATCAGGGAAGGTCTCTCCTATAGGCCTGGATCTGAAAGATAATTACAAGCTATCTTGGAAAGATTTAGAGAAAAAGCGTTCTAGGTAGATGAAACAGGAAGTTCAGAAGTCCAGAGGCAGGGACCTGAGGCTGGAATGTGGTGAACTAGAGGGGAGAGTTCCAGGAGATAAAGTCAAACAGGCCAGCTCTTATCGAGCCTTCGGTCCTTGGATACTTGGCTGTGTAGAGAGTAAGCAGCCTCAGTTTTGTTATAAGAGAGCTACAAAACCTTTGGAGGGTTTAAAGAGACAGAATGACAGGATTAGATTTATATTTGATGGTTCTATTGCCCATGGAGGCTGAGTGTGGAGGGATGTGTTTCAAGCATGGCCTTTGAGATACAACCCCTCCTTTCTTCCAGCTGTCCAGAACCCCTCTTCTCCCCACCTGATTAAATCAGCCTTAGCTGTCCCCACTTGTCAGTCCACAATGAGATGCTCTCTTCTTTCTCAAGGCTGCCCCCCTCTTTCATGGTCCCTGTATGATGTGGTGGGGGTAGGGGTACCCCGCCTGACCCAGAGAGAGCATCCCTGCCTCTGATGGGTTCCAGCAGGGGTCTCCCCTTCCCCCTCCACACCCAGGCCCAGTATCACGTGTAGTACCCATCATCATGCCGGATCCTACGCTCTGACACCGGATCCCTTCCCTCAAGGGTTTACCATCTGGTAGGGGCTTAGACCTACATGTACACAGGACATGTACACCGCAAGGAAGTCAGTGAACAGGGTCTTTTGAAAATGCGCTATAGTCCTAAGAGAATGCAATGCATTTAACATCTCTTGGCTGGGTAAGCTTTGGTGGAGGTTGTGCCGACTGGAACCAGGTCTTACAAGAAGTTAAGGACTGCTCCAGGTGGGGTCACAGCTTGACCAAAGTTCAGTGTTTCTTTGAGAAGTGGATACAGTAGTAGAATAGTGTAAACAGGCAGATTGGGCCCAGATTCTATTACCAGGTGCCGTACTGAGGTGTTTGGACAGCTTTTCCCTTGTTCTACAAATGCTCTTCCAGCTGAGGTAGACAATGGACTTGGAAGAAACGGAAACAGACAATCCAGTCATTGCAATGACGCAGACAAGAGGGAACAGAGATCTGAAGGAAGAGGGCGAGGGTCATGGCAGGGGTGGGAGGTGGGGCAGATGGAAATGAGGAGAAGGGGGAACAGGACTTGGAAATTCCAAGCAACATGATGGCGTTACCGATAACCACGAACAGAGGCGAAATAAAAGCCAGGAGGGTCTGATTTGTGGAGAAAGACTAGGAATGTAATGAGCCTTATAATGAGTCCATCCCAAGAAGCTTTATTCCTGGAAATATCTGAGGAAGTCTGAGTCTGACCACATGAAACTGTGTGTCTGAATGTGTTTAAAACCATGGTTACACCACGGTTATATGCCTTGAGCCATGGATGCTTGCGGTTGAGCTTTCCACAGATAATAAATGTCAGGGAAAGAAACCCTCCATCCTGCCTCCTCACAGTAGTAAAAACTACAGGAAGGGGTTTCCTGGTTTGAAGGAATTTTCTTTTGCACTCACGCAGGAACGCGCGTTACAGGATGTTCCGCAGGGCGTGCTGCTTGCTGCAGCAAGCCAGAGATGAAAGCACCCTGGAACGCAGAACATTCCACATGGGTGACTTGTGAAAACCACTCACACTGCCTTGCGGACATTTCTGTAAACCTGGAGAAAATGTTTAACAGGTCCTGTTTATATTCTCAACTTCCTCTCTTTGACATGCTGCAAAATGCTGGGCGCTTTTGACTCGAAACAACAACAGCGAAGCCTTGAATGAAAACAAAGGCGATGTCCTAAGACAAATAAATTGGTGGAGGAGAATCGCTTCAGAAATTTTTTTTAAAAGGAAGAAATTCATGGGACTCTACCCAAGTTTTTAATCAGTTTCAGCCCCGGGAAGCTGACCCGTGTCATGGTTAAGACATGAGATTCTACAGAACAATTCAAGGAAGACACTGGGTCATGTAAATACCTGGCTCCTTTTTCTTCCGTAACATCACTGGGAAAAGCTTGAAGGATGCAGGAACACCCACGGAGACGTTTATTAAGAAACATTCATTAAAAAGGCAGGCACGAATCAATTTATACAGCTTGCTCTGTACACTTTGATAAAGTCCCAGCTCCCTTTTCTTTCAGTAATTGGAACACAATTAACATGAAAAATGAAGTTAGATTTGGCCAAAATTTTCTAGAGGTAGGACTATGTTATCCTTGTAGAGAAATTGACTTTATGACAGAACAAATCTACTTGCTTTGGGATTAAGCCACGAGCAAGATCCCTAAAGTTACAGGTATAGACTTCCCAACATTTTTATTCTATCTTTCCTGTTTGGTGTGGAACGGAGAGCATCCCTAATACTTTAGCTAAAGCACGTTATCCTGAACCCTCCGAATTTCACCAATGGGAGCTCACTTCCGGCTACGTTATGCTAATTAGCAGGGCGCTGCTTTTCATCAGGGCGCTGGTTTCCAACGCTCATTATGCGAATTGAGATGCGGATAGTTTAAAGTGCTCAGTACCAACCTCTGGCCTTTCTCATTAAATGACAGCTGACCCCCTGTGGGGCGTGAAATTCTGACGAGGGTTGCTGAGTGCCTCTGAAAAGTAGCTTAACCCATCACACGTACTTTTAATGCCATAATGCCCATACTGAAGGTATTTTAAAGTAAATTGCAGACATCACAACAGTAGGTAGCAGGACAAAAGTTTGAGAAATATTAGGAACGCGCTGAGGAACAAGAAGGTTATACGCAGAATCATGGGTCAGCAAATATGTTAATATTCCAAATTCCACTTCCGGAGCTAAGAAACAGGTCTTCCCATTTTGTATTCATGCTTTCCCGTGCCCCTCCCCACGACCATTTTTAAAAGAGGACATTAATGCAAAAAGGACCCCAGAGGATTACTCTTATCCCAAAAGGTGGATATGATACTTGCGGTCTATTTTGGAAGTTGTTTGGAAATTCCAATTCCTGTCTGAATTATTCTCAGCTTTTTCTCTGCAATATTTAGGAAATTAAAAATGACTAGGACTTAAGAAGGGGAGGGTAGAGCTCAGTGGTAGAGCACATGCTTAGCAGACAGGAGGTCCCGGGTTCAATCCCCGGTACCTCCAATTAAAAAAAAAAAAAGAAAAGAATAAATAAATAATAAACCTAAAACCTCCCCCGACAAAAAAGGATAAAATACTAGACTTTAAAAAGAAAAAAAGAGAAAAAGAGTAAGAAAATGAAAGTTAAAGAAAACAACAACTAGGATTTGAAAAGTATGAGTCAAGCAAAGTTACAGTCTAATGTGCAAAGATCCAAAGTCAAAGTCCATCTTTGCCCCTTAGTGGCTGTCACTCAACAAGCCTCCCTCACTCCTTTAAAGAGAGATTAGATCAGCGCTCTCCAAAAAGTGGGAACGGCCTCCAGTGCCGCGGGAGGATTTGCCACCCTTCCCTGCAGTAGGGGCGGGGGGGGGGCGGTGCTGGGAAACCCCGCGTCACCATCAATAACAAGCTTTCTGAACTGCCGCCCGCTTCCAAGCCCTTCAGTTGCTAACGACCAGGAGCTCCTAGAAGGCCAGATGGATCCTCACTTCCCTGAAAGATTAGAGTGTGTACCGCCCTCCTCCTTTAGAAAGCTAAGACCAAAAAAAAAAAAAAAAAAAAAAAAATTAACAATTACCAAAGGACTGTAACAAAATCTTCATTGTCATCATGATGATGATTTTTGACACTAATTTAAAAGATTACATTTGTTCAAAGACAATTTTTTTCCTGTTGATCTCCTTTGTTGGTGCGCTGGGGTCATGTTTAGTTTACTGTGGGTCATCCGGGGGTGGGGGTACAGTGCGCAGTTCCCCCCACACTCTGGACCACACCGTCCGTCTTCTCAGGTGGCATCACGGGAAGCTAACCTGTCAGGAATGACACTGGGGAGGGAATACTGCGTCCTTAGGTGGTCCCTGAAACTTCTTTTCACCCAGAAGTCTAGAATTCTGAGACGATGATTTGCTACTTTCTAAACTATTTGCTCTGCTTTTTGGGGGGCGGAGAGGATGTGAGCATTCAAAATGACTCTGTGATCTTAAATTCGGTCAAAGTCCTAGTCTTCCAACATTCACGCTGACCCTGGAAGGCCCTTGTCTCAACCCCCGTGTGGCTAGGTCTGTTTACTCTTCAGATCTGCCCTGGCTACCTGAACCGTCCTGACAGTGACTGCCTATACATCGCCAGTATGTTAATGATGAGCAAACATTATGTCCTTGTTACCATCCTTACGCGTCCTTTAAGCTCATGAGCAGTAATTCATTCTCTTCGCACAGTACTTTACAGTCTGCAAATGATTTTCACCATCATCATCTCATTTGCACGAACTGCTCTTTTTAAGCTGCAACTCATTTGATCTTTAAACTAGTCCCCCTGTCCAACGTAAAACATTCTCATTGCTCCTGAGCACAGCCTCGACAATTTCGAAGCCTTCTATTCTGATGAACGTCAGTGCACTCTGTAAGCATTTATGTAAAGCTGCACTGTCATCTTTAATTTGAGGCAGAGAATGTGGACCGGAGGGAATTCAGTTCTATTTAAGTAGCAGCTCCCTTCCCCTGCAAACTTCAGCTAGCCATCATGAAGATGTCAAGTACGGCCACTTACTTCTCATCTGTTTTCACGGAGCAACAAGATCACTCGAAGGCTCAAGCAAGTGATGGGAGAAGGCTCTTGGAAACATTTGTGTAAGGTGATAAAACTTGAAAGGCTCTCCAGCCTCGCTCATAAATACAGATGCCTTGAGATCGGGGCACATGGCAGACCTGAGCAGGGTGTGTGATCACGCACATGCACACACGCACACACAAAATTTTGTTCCCATAACAGGATAGATTTTTAGCGGAGCAAATCTACACTTTGCAAAGGTATACAGTGAGTCAAATGTAATCACGGTTCCCACGACTACGACTACTAAAATTACCCTTATTTTTGATGTTCTTCTGAAAATGTGTATTGCTTTTATTCTTAAAAGGAACCTTACTTTTCTTGCATAACACTGAAAAATATATGTACTTCTAGAGACAAACTATTGGTTAAAAATGGAAATATTTAATCTATCAACCAGTTGCTTTCTTTACATGATTCCAAGAATAAGTTAAGCAGGTTTCTAAGAGCCTACCTGACTCCTGTGAGGGCTTTTTGCAAACTAGGGAAAGGAACCCCCACCTCTGGGTCATCCCAGGCTAACTGGCATATAGTTCGAAACACTGTTGAGGACTTTTGTGAATTTGAATAAAACCCACTTGCTTGGGACAGATGCCGCCCTGAGCCAGAGCACACAGCTTGGGGAACAGACTGTGGGCTTGAATTCACCCCCACGCACCCCTTCAGCCATGCATCCTGCCCAGTGAAACAACTGGACAGCTCTCCCCAGCGACCCTGAGGTTTTGTTACTAAATGAAGCAACTGAGCCTCAGAAGAACCTGCAGAGCACAAAGGAAGACACCTTCATCTAAATATGACCTCCACATAGTTTTAAGAATCTTCTTTTTAAAACACACCCCTGAAATTATTGAGCCAAAGTCTAATCTGTGGCTGGAAGAGCTAAGAGAAAAGATCAAGCCTTCTGAAGCTCGACCCTGCAACAGAGATGGGGTGGAAACAGAAGACATCACGTGGGCTGGGCCAGGCAAAGTGGCTTATCAGAGAAATGGCTTTTATCTAGTTAAACACCTATTATATGCATCTCATTCTGGCCGACTCCTGGAGAGTAAAAAGCAGAAATAGAATAGAGCCCCTGCTGTCAAAAATTTAAATCCTTGTTGAGATGATGAGCAAGGAAGAAAAGAAGGGAGAAAGTCAACAAAACTTCAAGGCTCTCTTCCCCATCTTACATATTTTCATAGACCGTAAGCTTATGGGACTGTATTTGGTGAGCACCAGGAGGTAACACGCAATCCATTATTATCATATGATAAACCATGTGTATCCTGGTTATAATACACTACGGGTCACATAATCCATCTGTATCCATTATAATCCAGATGTATCCTGGGTACCTGGTAGGGGCGCATAGATTTGTTGACTGAGTTTGTGATGAATCCCATGGAAGTTCTAAAAGGACAGAATTACTCAAAGAATTTCTGGGGGAGCTAGAACGTAAGCCAGGCATTGAAGAAGACGTTCCATGAACATAGTGCACCTGGCTTCTCTAGGTATGCTTCTTCTATTTACAACTTCAGCATTGAAGGATGTTCTTGATTGATTCGCCATGGTATTTAACATGAACCAGCTCTGCAGCTCAAATATGTATTTGTGTGGAAGTGACAGAATCTGGCAGTCTCATAGGCTTGTACCACTTTCTCGGCGACTCTATTACATTGAAAGAGCTCGGTGGCTTTTCAAGAGTGCTCGCTGGAAACCAGCAGAGAAGGTGATGTCAAAGTTGCTTTGCTCTAACGACCGCTCTTGTTCTATTGTTCTCACAGACCATAAAAGAGACTGAAGAATGTCCGTCCGAAACTCTGCCTTGAATGAAGAAACTTCGTTGAACAAGAAGTTGGCTTCCAGTTTTGCACAGGCGTCGATGGAATCCTTTTTCTTTTTTTACTCTTAATTTTCTACTTTACCCAATGAAAACGAAGTGTTTTTATGTGCTGTGCAAATGGTTCCTTATGGGGTCTGAAAGTTTATTTTTGCCATCTTTTTTTTTTAATTAAAGAAAAAAAAAATCCCAGATGAGGAAAACAACAATGACAACAAAGCAAAACATGGAAAGTTGACGTTTATCTGGAAGAACATTTGAATTAAGAATTTAACTGAAGGTGTAGATAGATTTTTTTTTTTAAACAGAAAATCCGATGTCAAGAGGCAGGCAAGCAGAAATGGAAACAAAGAGTCTTCCTCAGTAATTAAGCTACTACATCCTTTTCCCTTCTTGTTTAAATCTAGTGGGTTGTTTTTTTTTATTTTATTTTTTTTTCTTAGAAATATTTAGGTAAAGTTTATCTTGAATCTTAATTGCCTTAATTTTAAGGACGTCAAAAGCTCTCGAGGCAAGCGTCAACGTCTTGTTAAAAAAAAAATCAAGAAAGAATTGAAACATTGTACCGGCTTTCACTGGTACAGAAGTTTAAGACTATGAGTTTTTAGGGTGAAAAAAAAAACTGTACAGTTTAAAAGAAAATGTTTTTCTTCATTTGAAGAAAATTTGTTGATAAAAGAAACCGTGGCAACTGCAAAGATCGGGAAAATGCTGGGACTTTTCATGAACTTGGTCTTAAGTGTTGAATCATTCTAGAAGGCTAAACCATTTGACGGTAAAGTTATTAACATTGGTTTCAAAACAACTGCATTAGAAATAATGCGTGTTTGGGGGGCAGAATGCAGATTTTTTTAATTTACAAAGCGTGAACGCTAGCAAAAGCATTAGTGCTTTTTATCTGCAGTCTTTTTTATGAGCTTTACAAAGTTTTTAGTCAGCTTTGCTTGTCACATTGCAAAACCTAGCTTAAGAGCATTGAAAAACAAAACACTTTAGATAGGAGCTTATGGTCAAAAAGTGCAAAAAAAAAAACCCACAAAAAAACAAAACAAAAAAAGCAATAGATAGAGAAATTGTTGACAATTTCTGTAGTCTTTCCTAGTTGTGATCAAATGCAGCCTATGGATGGCCTATTTTATACCAAAGATGAAGTGGCACCTATTGCAGTTCAGAAGATAGAGGTTGTCTTTCTTTCCTTTTTTTTAAAAAAAATTTTATTTGACCTACATGGCCGGACCAGTTCTTACTTTGTTGTTTGTTTAAACTACCTTCCACTGGTGTTTTACATACCGCAAAAAAAAAAAAAAAGTTGTTTGTTTTTATTTTAAATGTGTATTTGTTGATAGAAGCTGTTCCTCCTGTCTTCAGCAGTATCACCATGAAGAGTTCTGGACACCAAGCAACAGAGCCAGAAGGCTTTCAATCCCATGAGCTTTTCTGGCTCCTTCCTGGCTCTCTTGAATACTGAAATCTGTCTTGATGGCCACCAACGAGCTAAGACTCTTGTGTAACAGGTGGAGATTTTTCTTTACGTGAATTTTGAACTCAAGTTACTTCCTGAACTGGTCTGGAAGTTCACGGGGCAAAAGAGCTGAGTGATTCTCTGTTAAGTGGTGAGTGGTCGCCGGAAAAGGTCTCACTGTGTAACCATAGTCTTCCTTCTAAATTCCCGCACTTCTAGGTTTTGTCTCCGCGTCGCCCACCACGAATAGCCACTTTGACTCTGCAACTGGAGAGGGGTTTCCTGTTTTTGGGGTTTTTTTTTTTTTGCCTTTTGCCTCCTTTCATTGTATTTTCATGTGTTATCAGAAGAAAGACAAAACAGACTTTTTTTTTAAATTTCAGTCTAACTCTCTGAGGCAAGTAGGACCAATAAGACTGAGGATTCTATTAGTGGAATTTAGGTAAGCTTTTAATGCTAGTTGACAATCAAGAAATTGTATGATTTCTATTACTAAGAACCAAAATAATTAGATTTGATCAACTGTTAAAGCCAAAGGAGATACATTTGCATTGAGAAGGATGCAAAGCTTTGTCTAAAATGAAAATTGACTTTGCAAACATCTCTGCATATTTGATTCATGAAATCCACGTTCAACCTGTTTTCAGTTTTAACCTGAAATTAAGGACAATGGAACTTTGTTAACTGAATCACGCAGTAGAATTATTTTTCTAACGTATCTTCAGAATCAAACAGGTGAAACTCTTTTCACAAAGGACAGTCACAGGAACCTTAGTCCAGAAGGAAGAGGGAAATGCATAAAGTGCACTGTATAAAGCAAACAGGGTAGGCTTTTAGAAACTAAAAAAAAAAAAAAAAAAGAAAAATTAAAAAAAATTTTAAAAGGTAAAACATATCCCCATTAAGTCAACATGAGTAATGAGTTTGACTCATAAAAAAATGATCAATATTCCATTATTTATGACCTACACCCAAAGGGCCTGGTGCTGAAGTAGACTCAGTTCTCTTGTTGGAAAGCCCGTGAACTGGAAGTTCATACGTAGAGAGCGAGTCCGTATCTTTGTGGTCAAATTACAGGCAAAACTATATCCGAGAAAATGTAGCTACAAAGAAATCCCATCTGGTCACACTCATCCGTATGGCTTTTCCATGCTTTAGAGAGAGTCCTAGATTTATACTTTCTTCTCTTCCATTCGTCACCTTCCCATGTGTCTTACGGGTGGCACTTGGATTCTGTCTTTGAGAAATGGGCCCCCGAGCTACAGCGGGGCAGAAGCAGCTGTGTCCGGCAACTGTGCTTTCTGTTTCTCTTTTTCAGTCTCTGAACTCTGTATAAATAAGGATTCTCTTGGGCATAATTCATTTGAATATGAAACCAACATGCCGTCTTTTTCTTCTCTTAAAATAAACCTCAGTGTGATACAAAGAAAGTCTCATTTCCACCATCAGCGGTGAGGCTCAGAGGCAGCTGCCGTGCGGCTGATGAGTGTGCTGGGTACCTTCCTGTTTCTGTTCAAAACGACTGCTTCGTTTATACATTCAGCAACGTTTTCTTTTTCAACTATAAAACTTAGTAATCTCTCTCTTTTTTTTTTAAGCCACTTCAGGCAAAAGGAATTCACTTGTCATTTGATGTGTCCATGTGTGGTGTTTCGTGCTTTCATTTTTTTTTTATATTATGCCATTCTGTAACATTCCTAACTTCAAATCTAAAACAAAAAAAAAGAGGCGCCTGTTCAAATTTGCACATGTCATGTGACCTAATAATTGTTTTCAGGAGTCAAGTCTGGGGGGGGGAATAAATAAAAGTGTTCACAGGTAAGCAGCGTAACATTGCATGAAGGGTGAAGCCAACACATGTTCAGCACGTACAGACAGCACGACCCTAAGTTAATCAACAGTAGAGACTGTGCATATTTGAATCCAATTTAGGACTACGATCTTTTTTTTTTTTTTAAGTATTCGAGCCTTTATTCAGATGTTTCCATTTTCCCTTTTGACCATAATTTGCCAAGATTTAGCCTAAGTGGCAGGAAACAAACTAAAGCCACGATCCAAGCGGGGTGAACGCCGTCCCACCCAGACTCCAGTTACATCGCCGTGGAGGAGGCGTATTCTTTTCATAGCAAGGTGTTGTTGTCAGGGAGGAAATCTGCAGAGTGACGGGGACCTCCTCGGGGCATGGCCGCGTCTTCTGAAGATGTCATCAGCCCTCGGTGGACTAAAGACGATGCTCGCGGGGTTGGCGGCTCTTGGTCCTTTAACGCAGGCTCGTCTGGAATTTTGCAAGTAACGTGATCGTCTGAAAAAAAAAAATCTGCCAGACTCCAGTTTGGTCAGAGTTCAGTTTTTTCCCTGGTAGATTTCAACCATTCAGACATTGTCCCCAGGCTTCCTTTGAATCAATTCTGTGACCTTAACAGATCTGCTGCGTTTGACAGCGTGTTAGACTCCTTGGCACCCCTCCTAATGAAAAGCGTGGTCTTAAAAGCGTTCATATTAGGGAAGGAAAGCCAAGAGCAGGGGAAGGCTGGATGGAGCAGGCAGCTCACTGTACCTACAGAATACATCAACCCCTTGCAAATCTGCTTTGCAATCATTTTCAATCCATGAATTACAAAATAAAAGGACTTTGTTGTTTCTTTCTTTTTTTTAATTTATTGGAATAATTGGTGTGTGTATTATATATACCTGTGAATCTTTCCCAGTGGCCTAAAATTCCCATTAATGAAAGGAGAGATTTGATTTAAACAGGACCTTTGCTGTCTTCTCTGTGTTTAAGGAAGATTCCACGGACTGTCCAGACAGAGATTATAATCTTAGGAGGAGACTGAAAGTACACTTGACAATTCAGTCCCATTCTTAATGTGAGTGCATGAACCACTGCAAGATGAGCTGCTAAGCAGAGAGAAATTCTTCAGTGGGCTTCAGTGATAAAGATTTTTATATGATCTAAAGTCAAATGAAAGGAGAATCTTTATGTATGTATACAGCAGCATTCAGCACATCTGAGGAATCACATCTCGTAATGAAGTTTAAACACGTCATGGAGCCTTGATCTGTACTGTCTTGTCTGCAGTACGGAGTAAAGATGAGATTTTGCTTCTCATGTTATTGTGACCGACGTGCTTCCAAATTCTGAGCTCGCAGCCACTGACAGCCCCCCACTCCAGCCTGAGGGACCGATGGAAATTAAACAGGCTCATGGATTCTGTACACAGAACCCTCCCAGTGGCAGCGTAATCGTGGGGTTTCATTCATAAAGCGATTGATTTTGCAAATGACGTCTACTGTGGCCTCAGAAGACAGCTGAGTCTAACTCAAATTTAACACTTCTTCCCAAATAACCTTAACTATGAAATTGGTCCCTTAACCCAAGTGCTCTTGGTCGTGGCTGTCCTTCATGGAGGACGTTGAGTTCAGGAAAGTATAAAAGTGAAATACAGAGATCCCTGAGTGGCCCGAACGATCTTTTATGATGGAAGGCAGGGGAGCTCGCCCCGACTGGTGATCTCTTTTACCTTTGGTTTTATACCCCAATACATATGCTCACTGTCACATGGGGAAAAAAAAAGTTGGATGGCGTCTCAATATTTCTTTCTTTGTATTTCTGGGAGGGAAAATAATGCTTTCAGGAAGGTTTCTTCCATTCAGAAGCTCTAATGCTGAGACAGGGGTCAGATCAAGCTTGGGGGCCACAGGAAGAATCACGGGGCCACTGGGTCACAGTTCTCTTCCACTTCATCCCCTATAGTCAGTGACCGCTCTGCTGACCGAGTCATGCAGGAACGCCCGTCGCCCCCAGTTTTGAAGGGCCAATCACCTCCTGTGTGGACTTGTTTTGTCTTCTCTTTTCAGCTATTAGGACCTGGGCTCTACTTCCTTTTATTAGCATCTCACCCGGAGGATGGAAAAAGAAACATTCGGAAATAAAATTCAAATCTGTCTGTTTTGTTTCCTGTTAAGGACTGATTTATTGAAGCAGTCTGAAATCACTGGTAAAATTAATGTCAGAGCATTCCTTACCGTGGGGTTTTAATATCCATAATGTCCCTTTCCCATCTGCCACAAACAATTGAGAGTTGGCTGTATTCTTGCATAAATAAAAGGAAAGAAAAAAAAATGTAGGAAAGGATTTGGCTTCCCTCAAAAGAAAGCTGTTTTGATTTTGTTCACTATGGAAATTTGAACCAGTAGAACAGGTCAATTCAAAATTGAGTTATGAGAATATCCTAACAGCTCTTGGTTAAATCGGCACCCCTCGCCCCCAAACTGCTTTGCTTGGTCACTTCTGACTTTGCGTCACTGCATTAAGGCTGAATGACCTGACACTCCAGTGGAATTTTTTAAAACAACTATTTCAAATTTAAACAGCGTCCAAAGCATAACTTTAGTGTTATGCTTTGTATTTTAAACCCTCCAGTCTTACATTATTAAAAAAATGTTTTCTCCTGCTCCCCAAAATATGTTATTTCCTCATCTGTCAAAAAGGGAGTTATTCCATACTTTTCAAGGACTGTAAAAAACTATTTCAAAGAGACACTTGAAAAAGCTTTCTCCAATCTGGAAATTAATATTCCACTTATTTTAAAAGAAGAATATAATTGGAATTTTAACTTAAAAATACATAAAAGTGTGCTTGCTATAAAATAGTTTCTTTAAAAAAAAATGGAACATGGCTTCTTTTAAAACCCTTGTTTCAGGCCGTATCTGACTTCATGGGACTTCTGAAACCTCATTCAAGTTTGACTTTTATTTAAGATCATTTTGTACTGCTGTCTCTGACTGTCATGGAAAATTCTGTAACTCTACGGTGTTTCTGGTTTTATTTTTAATTGTTTCATCTGTACCGCCATCGAATTAGCTACCATCTCCCTCATTCCTTGGGCTCTCTGTAGATCAGTGGATGTTAGGTTTAAACTTCTGTTTTCTTTGATGAAGCTTTCAATAAAAAATGAAAATTAAAATCAACTGAGTTGGGCCATTGTGTTTTTCTTCACTCTTCCAGAGACGGATTGAGGAAGAGACTGTCTGTGTTTAACTGGGTGTATTGCTGGCTTCCCACACAATTTCTCAAAAAAAAAAAAAAAAAGAAACCATCCTTGGTAACAAAAAGTGAGAGAAGAGGGATTATTCTATTAATGCAAGGCGACCCGAGAAAACCACCGTTTAGGGTGTAGACCATTTAGGTGTAGCGCGTGTAGACACACTCTTCCCAATTTTTATGCTTAAGGATTCAGAGGTCACTCAGCTCCTGTCTCCAAACATGCCTAGCTGTATCTTGTGTGAAGACCGGGGCGGGGGTGGGGGTGGGGTTCATTATATATAATAAGGAAATTCCTTTTGACCCCCGTGGTTTTTATCTCCGCAAGGATTAAACTTCAGGTCACCCCTAATCAGAAGTGTCCATTCTTCAAGCTGTGGATGACTCTGATAATCAGAGAAGCAGGAACTCCACGTCTCTGGTCCAGAATCATCCAAGCTGACTCAGATCTCATATTCAAGGGCCAAATATATCCCCTGCTGTAATATACATTTGCGGTATGGTTCCAGAATACTTAATTCTACTAGAGGAGACAAGAAGCAAATGACAGGAGTGAAATTCCTAAGACGTGTTAAAAACAGCAAAGTAAGTAACCGTTAAGATGGACAAAGTATGTAGAGCAAATGAGTGTGAACACAAAAAGAACTGGAAAGACCAAGAAAGCGATGTGTGTTTATGACGCACTAAATATACCCAAAACACCATGTATTCGTGAAACCTTCAACACACATGAGAAATGTGGGGCACTCAGTATGTTTGAGGTCTCCGTCCGGTCACCCTTGGGCACTTGCAGCAACTTCTCAGGCTCGTTGGTAGATTTCAGTCACTCACCTCGCTTCTCCCACGGGCTGCACGCATGTCCCATGGGCCTCTTTCTCCTGTGGCCCCGCCCTGCTCAGAGGCCACCTCTGGTCCTTGTAAATACACCAGCTGCGGACAAAGATGACATGTCAGAGGCAGAAGCAGGCAGAAGTGTGAAGATGCAGACCCTTCAGTGAGCGTGGTCCTTCCACCCTTTCCGAAGCATCCCCTAAATGAGCTGACCTCCCCCAGGGCAGTCCCCTTATTCTTGCTGTGGGGGCTTAACTGGTGTAGTAAGTCGTGTGATTTCAGCATCTTTATATGATCTGTGAACCTTCCTGTTCCCTGACCCCTAAAATCGCATGATAATGTACTTGGAGGCTACCACTGCATCAGGGCGATTTCCCACGTGGTGTCTTCACGCTTTAGAACATGAGCACCTGAGAGAGGGTTTTGAGAAAGCTTCCCAGTCAGTGCCTGGGCTCTGAGAGCTTCTATGTCACCCTTTCCCCATATGAGTCACAGCTCACATTCACTTCTCAGCAGAGGAGATGGAAGAGAAAGGTCCAAGACTGGAATTACTGAAGAGTCTAAGAAAACAAGACTTGAGGATCTTGAACTTAATTTTATTCACATTCCCTCGAAATTTTTTTTTAAGAGTAAGGGTTCTTTTTTGGTTTGTTTTTCAGGAATTGTTGGCTTTTGAAAAGATACTGATACCACCATTACCACCCATAAGCACAAAAATTTTGCTTCAAAAGGCAGGGCTTTTGGGAATTCCCTGTAATGAATCCATAGGCTTCTGGAGAAGAATCCTTGGTTTAGAGATACAGAGATAGAGATGAGAGGAAAAAAAGACTAGAGAATGAAAAAACAAGCTACAATAATAATAATGGTGTTCCTTGTATATAAAATAACCATGATTTCTTAACCCCACATCTATGTACTGTTTACTGTTTTATAATTTATTTTCTCCAAGGAGAACTGAGTGCTTTGCCAATTCTCAATAGTTCCAATAAAGTTCACGTCCAATAATGCTTTCTGTAAAGGAATGCTGTCAAAGATAACTCTTTTAGCTGCAGTCCAAAATTAATAAAATGAGAAGTAATATAACTCGTGCTTAATTCTCAGAGGGTTTTATTATTTCTGGATTTTCTGTAAAAGGAACATCATTTGTAGTAATTAGGAAAAAGTCTCTCCTGGATCAAAAAGGCAGTCTTTTTGTTGACGTCCTTAGAAACAGAGGGAGCAGCCGTCTCTCCCAGCATCTTTCTCCTGCCCTTTAGGAAGTTGCAGGTTCCCATTGTGACAGAGTGGCCACCAGGTGGCACTGCTGGGTTAGTCGCTGGTGGATTCCACACCCAGTTCCCAGGTTCTGTACTTCTAAACAGAACCAGTGATGTGCAGTGTGGCCGTTAGAGCAAAGGTCCCCACCAACCAAGCTGAGCCAGAAGCCGTGCCGGGGCCACCCACACACTCGAGTTCACTCAACCTCACAAGCGTGCCCCGAGGTAGGTACTGCTGTTGTCCCAGCTTTCAGATGAGGCTTGGGAAGTAGGGCCACCTACCTATGGACCTGCTTCTAAGGACGGCTAGAGTGTAAAGACAGGCTCAGAATCAACTCCAGGGTCCTAAGGTTCCCTATTCTGCAAGGACTTTGAGAAATGCCAGTGTGGAAGGCATCCTTTTTCCATTTTTTTTTCCACTCACTTGGCCTGAGATTTTGTGGTTTCATTCTTTTTTTTTTAAATTTTATTTTTTATTGAAGTGTAGTTGACTTACAATGGTAGCTTCAGGTGTACAGCAAAGAGATTCAGTTATATATATACATACATATATATATATATATTCTTTTTCAGATTCTTTTCCATTATGTTATTACAAGATATTGACTAGAGTTCCTGTGCTCTACAGTATGGCTTTGTTTACAGGTTTTGTGTGCAGGAGTGTGCATCTGTTAATCCCGACCTCCTAGTTTACCCTTCCCCCGCCTTTTCCCCTTTGGTGACCACAGTTTGTTTTCTAGGGTTGTTCACTCTAATCACCTTGGTCACAATCCCCATTTTCCACCCCAGAAATAACTTGCTGCTGCCACCATCTCTGTGATTTGTTCTGGAAGGAAAGGACCTGTCTACCACACAGATAGGCGTAACTTGTCATTGACTGTTTCACTGAACAACTGAACAGTGCCCAGCAGGATGGACACGCCATAAACATTTCAATGATACAGTAGACCCGGGTCTTATTTACAAGGATGTCATATTCTAGGAAGCACTGGTTCATGACAACACTTTAGCATGAAATAAGATCAGATTTTGTGAGCATTATGCTTAACCCTCCCGTGGCTTGGTGCAGAGTGGATGGGAGGGCTGCCTGGTCTGAACGCCATCACATCTCCCCACATCCAGCACGGAAGATCGTCCAGACCCTTCACTGAATCAGACCCTTAGCAAGGGGAGTGGAGTCTGCCATTCTGAACTGGTCCTAACTCTGGGAGCAGCTGTCAGTTACCTGCACTGGTCTTTTCACCGTCATGCAAGGTAAGTGCTGACCACATTTTAAACAGGAGGGAGCCAGGGCTTGGAAAAGTGACGTGACTTGGCCATGTTTTCATGGCGCAGACTGGATCCAAGCTTAGGATCGGCTAGATACAAAGTCGAAGATTTTTCTCTTATATAGCAGGGGATCCAGGGAATGACTTGAAGGGGTACGCTGTGTGTCCAAAGTAACTTTTATGTTATCCGACATGTCACCCTTTTTATTCTTATGGGTAGATCACAAAATATTGGACAAAGATATTGGACAAGCCATGCATAGATCATGGATTCGAACTTTAGGTAGACCATGTACAAAACTTTGTCTCTCTCTCTAAACTTCAGCTTCTTTTTTCAGTCAAAATGCATCCCTTTTGTGTCTCAGAGTGGTTATCAGGTATACAGTAGGCGATGCATGTATCACAAGTAAAGCCTCTAATCATTGTGAAGGCATCAAACACGGCACATCAATTTAACCTTTCCATTCTAAAGGCCCCCTTTAAAGCACATGATGTGCTTGTGAAAGCATCTCCTGAGAGTTAAGGGCAAGGTGAGTATCTGAGAAAATGGAAGGAGTCAAGAAGGCAATGGTAGAACCAAAATAATGGTGAGTTACTCTGTAGTGTTGCCCAGATTCCAGAGGACACAAAGGCCAGACTTGAAACCACTCGCTCCCAGGCCACCAGAACACAAGGACACAGAAGCTTAGCTGCTAGTTGAACTAAATCCACCCCTACAACACTCACACACAAATTTCAGATGATAA